GGTCTGAAGTTAGACCGCCTCCTCGTCCCCCGTCAGGCACGAAAACAAGCTCAGTTTTACCGTCGAAGGAAATGCCGGCCCACATCATACAAGAACCACCCCCATAAGCCACTGTCTCAGCGAAACAGCACTGCGCAAATCGCTCCCCAGGCCGCCTGTAGACCCGACCCCTTCGGTCGCTGCCGTGCAAACACATTCTGCACTCGTCGGAGAACAGAACTCGCCTCCATTGCTCAACCTCCCAATCAAGATGGGAGCGAGCAAATTGAAGGCGTGCTTGTCGGTGACCTGCCGTCAGTTTCGGGCCTGTGGCAGGCCTTTTTGGAGTCAAATTAGCTTGCTTAAGTCTTCGACGAACTGTCCACTCACTGGCAGCTACCCCACGAACATTTCGGAGCTCCTGTTGGACGTCGACACCAGTCAAATGTCGATTTCTGAGAGATGTTGACACGATGAAACGGTCATCTCTCTCCGATGTGCACCGGCGCCGTCCAGATTTTGGTCTCGGGATAAAGCCACCACTCTCCCGAAACCGTTTATAAACTTTCGAAACACAGGACTGGCTTATGTGGAGCTGACGTGCGACAGCCCGCTGGCTGAGCCCTTCTTGCAATAGGGCGACGATTTGTGCTGCTTCTGTAGGTGTAGTATCCATTGGCGTCCAAGTTCAAGGGTCTAAAGTAGCGGAGATGTGTACTGGTCAACGTGTGAAAGCCGACTGATAAAGAAAATCCGATAACACGTGCTTTTATAGGGGGTCAATAGGGCGCAACTCGTGACGTATCAAACAATTGAAACATATCTTTTTCCTTACTTCTTCACGTAATCCCGTATAACTTCTGAAATTATGGCGTGATTTAAATGAATTTGGTATCAATTTAAAGTTAACAGTTTAACCCTTTAAATGGTACCATTTTTATTATTCTTAACTAGTTATTAAGTACTTAAGATCGCGAGGATTCAATTCCAAGTAAGTGATTCCATACTTTTGCTCGCGAGTGTATTTGCGTTGCTTACTTCCCACTTATTTACCGTCTTCAATCTAACTACAATTAACGATTATTATTTTAGCTAACATATTTGCTAACCGCAGATATCTTTCTTGTTACAGGGCAAGTCAGTAATCCGTCCGATAGCGTTCAAGCCGCTGGGGGGACGCCTGTCGGCTGGAGGTGAGAGATATGGCTCCACACCCGTCCTGGCCAGCAGACCACCCTCACACTTAACCCTTTATGGCAGTGAGTATATTACACCTACATAACAACATAAACTATTTTTAAATATTAACTATACTACTTAAACAGATGGTCATACAGCAATATATAAAATATAGCTACATCCGCGCGGTTTCACCCGCTGCTTAGCTCCTACAGATCGTAGCGTCATGTTTAATAGCCTTCCTCGGTAAATGGAGTAACAAACAAAAATAATTGTTCACTTCGAACCAGCAGTTCCGGAGATTAGCGCGTTCAAACAAACTCTACAATATTATAAGTATAGATGTCGTTCGCTATAATTTGTCTTAAAACATGAACAATAAGTATGCTAGAAAAATATATTGATAAGAAAGAAAGAAAAAAAACACTATTGGATTTTTAAAAATATATAATTATGTCGAAACATAAAGGAAAGAATAATTATAAATCTTTATCGTTTAAAAACTTGTCAATTGTATACCTAGTAGCATTTGCTTTTGAACATAGAGTTAATATGCTATCACTGACCATCATACGCTAGACAAACGAAAAAAATCAAGGCAAAATAACTAAAACTAAAATTAAAAACTCCTTTATTCCATACATCATCGGACACTAAAGACCTTTTTCATTACACCAGTTCAGGGTATTAAAGTACCGTCTCTTATTGGCAGGCTCATCCGACGTGCGGGAAGGTCGATGGTGCGGGTCACCACAACCTGCCTCCCTATCAGCTCTTCCACCAGCTACACCATCAGCCCCCATCCATCAGCGGCACCACTCTGCTATTGTGTAAGTACCACCTTATTGTCTTTAAAATAGATGTCAAAATTGCTTGCAAGAAAGAAAAAATGTCGCAGTGCCACAGAGTATAGGGCAACCGCTTATCATGCATGAGGTTAAGGTTTTAAAACCTGGCAAGTTTTCCGAATTAAATGTACTTTCTAAGTTAATTTAGATACCACAAACGGTAAAGAAAAACATTGTGTGGAAGCCTAAATTATTTAAATTGTAATATTATGTTTAAAATCATGTCTGGCCAAGTGTATATATAGTGATTAATACTCAAACAATCACAGTTTAAGACCTCCTTCGCCTTTGCTCAGCAGTTGCCACATACAGGCTGAAGATAATGAAAAAAAAAATTAAAAAAAATACGAATATTGAACACCCCTCGTACTATATTTACAATGATTGTGTTGTTACAGTTGTTCTAACAACGCAACCGTCTGTTGTTATTGTTGCCAGAGAATTACTGTTCAGAACGAGATAAAGACATTATTGGACTTTTATTTATTTATTTATTTATATTTATTCGAACCACCAGTAGTTAATACAACACTTAAATGTATAGTCAACAATTATTTAGTTTTAAGCTAGTTGCATAACATATTAAGGTAACTACAGCGTACAATTAAAAGAGAGCGTTATGGACAGTGATAAATAATAAAAATTATATCTAACAAGACTTAACTATACTAAAGATAAGATCTTCCTAACTTTCAAACATGCATTCAGATATTATACTTTTGCCAATAGTTTTACCGCGATCTTGGAAAAAGGAGGGCGGGGTGTTTAGTCAGTATGAGTCTAACACTCCCACTCGCTTCGCCCTGGTCGAGAGAAGTCAATTGATGAATTTTTCTACACAAAAAAGAGATACCTCGTATTATAATTTTAAGGAGAACAATCTAGATTAAGCTTAAAATTGCAAAACATTCGACTGAGCCTTTGTATCGTGTTTCATTGTTATCCTAAACTAGCGACCGGAACGCTCTGATGCAAGAACTATTATATATACCGTAGGTCATATAGATACATGTTTATGTATACATTGTCATTATATGTTGTCATCGATATTCGATTTAAAATCAAGTACATTCATCATCATTGAGTCCAACTACAAGACATGGACGACTTATCCAGCTCCACTGGACAGTACTCAAATAACTGCGAATAAACAACAATTATTTGTGTGGCCCCTCTTTCATATACTTTAAATAGATTCAGTTAAAGACCGTTTTAGTTGCCAAATATAAACTTAATTTATCTAGGCATTCTTGGTTTTAAAAAAATCTATAAATAATCACGAATTTCGTGTATTTAATTAGTTTAAGTGCTAATAATCGTTTTCGTGTAACAAATCGGTTGAGATCAATTAAGAAAACATTGTTGTTAAACGAAGTATTGAAATAATTGCATCAGTGCATTCATTCTTACCTAATAATATCTTCTGATTTATTTCTTATATTTTCTTTGAAGGGACAATGACAGTCTTTGACGTCTTTGGAACGCGCTTCGGAACTTCAGTGTTTCAATTTTTTCATGGTTATATCTACTGTAGGTACTGGCATGCAGGAGTACTAGCTGTTTAGAGAATTTGTGGAAGGCTTGTCCCATAAAATAATATCAGTAAGCTTAGATATACATATCTACTAATTGAAGCCCTGACTCAATCCAAAACCACCCTCCTAATCAACCGTGCACCCGAATAGTTAAGCTGCTTTCTAATACACCACGACAGAGGACGTGCGATGACACATGCACGATGCATCTTGCATCTGTTCATTAAACTGAATAATTAGTACTGTTACCATGTGTTATGGGCATGTTACGGGGAAAGAGATTGCGATAGTCATTTGATGAAATGTCTAGATAATTAGAAAAAAAAAGAGGAATGAGTACATAAAATTTTGCTTAAGATCAATTTTGTTTGGTCTCAACATGTCGTAATTATATTGAAATAGTTTCTGCTAATGACTACGTCCACAATACCTAGGTAAAGAGCCAGCTCTTGTGTTATTCCTGACTTTAATCTACGTCTGTGCCTAATTTTATTTAGATCCGTTAAGTAGTTTTTACAACTTTCGCGTTAATAATTAAGGATTAGTTACCCTAGCGTCGAATATACAATTATAATTTAGTTTTCTGTGAGTGTAGTGAGATTTAGTTTAGAACCAGAAGAAGAACATAAGATATACATAGTAGGTAGGTAGAGTAAGTAGAGTAAATAAAGGTAGTCAAATGACGGGAGTGAAGCTGCGGGTGAAGCTAGTCTTCATATAAAAATACTAATTACACCAGAGATACGAAACAGGAAAGTACAACTGATTACCTTTCCCTATCAAGTTAGAAGTCGTTTCACTAATTAGCAGACACAACTTACTGACTGCAACATGAACATTTACGCTAGTCTGCTAGTGAATGACATGGGGCCGTAAAATGCCACTAAGTCATACCGCCCAGCCGCCGTAGCCGTGTTCATTCACCAGAAAGCACAACGTATAATTTTGTAAACAGTAAATAAATACGTTAGGCGTCTATATTTTAAGTACCTAAGTTCTATTATTCGTTTTTACTGTGGTGTAAAAATATAGAGTAAAATTATCAAAGTGGGAAAAAATATATTTTAGGTGTATTCGTTATAACAGTCGATTTTAAAAATGGCACTTCAGTGTAGGTTTGTAGAAAATACATTCAAAACAAACAAATAAACAGGTACTAACTAATACGCGAAACTGCAAATTAGATGATCAAGAAGTATTGATTTCATTATGATTCAAAAACTTATTAACACTCACTAGCTCATAACATTGTCTTTAATAATATGTACACCTATCAACGCACTGTTGCTAAGCATGATAATTGTTTACAAACATTCTCTTAAACCAATCAACAACATTTTTTACAAAACTTTTTCCTTAAAAATGTTCAATACAACTCACAGACATTTAAATAGCATGCATATGCATTTACAATCTCAATTATAATGCATTACTGTGCGACGCAAAAAAACACGATTATGGCGCGGTATTTACGCTGTTTACTCAGCAATATTGAGCAGCAGTTTAGCGGCTCTGCGCACGCGTCGCGGACATTCGTACGTCGCACCGAGCAGCGACTAGCCGGCGCAAGAGTGTTTATTTATCAAATAGTGATTTTATACGTGTAAGTGAATAAAATGGATAAGTGTATTGAAAAGTGAGAGTTGTGTTATTATGTTTAGGTGAGTTTTTGTATGTGGTGTACTTTTAAAAATGAAATATAGTTTTTTACCTTTTATTTGCTAAGTTTATCGTAAATACTGAAGTTTGTATATGATATCTTATTCGATAGTATATCAATATTAAACTTTGTAGGAAAATCTATAAAGTTTAAAATGTTTGTAAAATTATATGTCTTGAAAAGGTCGTTCCAACTTAAATGAGTAGAGATAGTACAGCATCTTTGCTATCTAAGTAATCTTGAAACAAACTGATAGACTAATATATTAGTTGTTAGATATGTATTTAAGTAACATGCACTGCTCAGTACATCTTTCGTCGTCCAAACGAAAACAAATTGACAAATAAATGGTTCAAATAAGTTTGTAAACTTTCTCCAGAATTTTCTAAATATTTTTTGTAGAGATTCTGTTAGGTAGAACACTCAGTCGGTCAGTTTATGAAGCCTAGTCTAGTATCTAAGTAGGTTTGAAATAAAAACTAGTTCTAATGTTTCCGTGCCTCCCGTTTTTTACATTCATAGTCACGGTACACTGTTCTTGAATGACGAGGACAAAAAAATGTGCTTTAACAAAAATATACTTATGGAGAAGAATAATAATTATGCGTTTAATTGTTCGTGTGAAAAGCTTTTTGTTTTATTAAAAGGGGGCAGAAATGCTTAATTTAGGATCCTTGCTATATTGTCCCTGTGTAGCATCCGAGTTCTTTAGCCGAGGTAGATATAAGGGTGGGATAAATGCAAGGATTCACCTAATTATGATCCTAGCTGGTCCTAGCTATTCCCTATGTAGCATCCGAGTTGTTTAGCCGGGGTTGCGAGAGAAAAGTAATAATGTACCGTGGCCTCGGCCTGGAGCAGGAGAAAGAACGGGGGGGTTAAAGTAAAGTAAAGTAAAGTAAGTAAAGTAGTCTTTATTGTGTTGATTGTGTTGGTTACAGGTGTTATACATATTTATAGTGGTATACAGTACAACAATCAGCCCGTTTGGGCATACAATAATCAAGGCCCATTTGGGCTAGTACATTATTAATTAAAACAAAATTACAAGTTAACAATAAAAATATATAAAAGTTACACATTACTTATTTTCTAAAAAATCCTTAAGTGCATAATAACATTTTTGTGCCAGCCATTCCTTTATTTTTACTTTAAACAATCTTAATGGAAGTTCTCTGATAGTTTGGGGTATTTTATTATAGATTTTTATACACATAAACATACAATTTCTGTGATACAGAGTGGTTCTGCATTTTGGTACAACAATCTTACTAGGATCTCTTTTGCTGAATGCACTGTTTTCTGAAACTTTTTCGAATAATTGTGGGTGATTTCTTACGAAGAGACCAACTTCAATTATGTATAAGGAAAAAATGGTGAGTATTTTAGTTTTCTGAAATAGGGGTTTGCAAGAATCAAAGGGACCGGCATTACACATTGCTCTTAAACAGCGTTTCTGTGCCAGGAAAACTTCGTTTATTAAGGTTGAGTTGCCCCATAGTAATAAACCATATCGTAAAACTGATCCTATATAACCATGGTAAGCAGCAATTGCTGTGGATTGAGTAGCAGTTTTGTTAAGCTGTCTTAGAACGTAAACAAATTTGTTAAGTTTTGAACATACATAATGTATATGAGACTTCCAATTGCAGTAGTTGTCTACAGTTATCCCTAAGAATTTAATGTCAGTGGTTGGACTAATCACTGTATTATTATATTGCAAAGTAATTTTTTTGGTCACTGTTTGGTATGTTAGCCATTGTATTACATGTCCTAGAGTTTTATTAACCTCTTCTTCGTGGTGGTTGTTAGCTCGGTCAGTGTTAGGGATAATGATACATATGTCATCTGCGAATAAGATACATTGGTGGGGTGTTATATTGGGAAAGTCATTTATGTATAACAAGAACAAGAGGGGTCCCATAACACTACCCTGTGGGACTCCTGATTTGTTATGTCGGTAAGGGGATTTACAAGGTACGGATACAAGACTTGTATTAAGGTGGTTAATTTCAACACATTGGGTTCTGTCTGAAAGGTAACTTTGTATCCAATCTAGGGCAGGTCCTCTTATACCATAGCGTTGGCATTTGTTTAAAAGGACTGAATGGTTAACATAATCAAACGCCTTCGACATGTCTAGAAATAGTACTGTAACTGGGATTCTATTATCAATATTTTCTGTTATGGTCTTTATTAAAGAAAATCCGGCAAGTGTAGTCGACTTATTTTTTTGGAAACCATTCTGTTCTTCCTTGATGACCTTAAATTTATTGAAAAATACAGTAATACGGTTATGCATAAGTTTTTCATAGATTTTGGAGAAAACAGGTATTAGAGTTATTGGCCTATAATTGGTTAATTCAAGGAGGTCATCTTTTTTGTAAAGAGGTTTTACAATGGAAATTTTTAATTTTGTCGGAAATGTGCCTTGAACAAAAGAAAGATTTATGACGTGTGCAAGAGGTGATGCTATAATATTGGTACACATTTTTTAAATATTTGTACAGACATGATCATACCCGACCGCTTTGGTGTCTTTGAGACTTTTGATGGCTTTAGCTACTTCTGTTGGTGTGCAAGGTTTTAAAAATATGGAGGAATTTATGTTTTCAACACTACTATAATTTGAATTAGGTTTGGTACCGTTTGGTTTTAGTCAGTAAGAGTCTGGCACACCCTCTCGCCCGTGAGAAGAGGACTTTAATTTGACGACTTTCGCCCCTCAAAAAAACCAATTAACATTTTAATATCCGCACTACTGAAATAAATATTTTCTACCTTTCAACTGGGCAAGGCAGCTAAGCAGATTGTATTCCAAATTATAATTCACCTTACTTAAAATAAAATTTAAAACATGTAGCCTAGGAAAATCAAATTAATGCTACGTTAATCTAGTCTAGTAAGTCTAGACTAGGAGAAAAGATAGTCTAGATTTCCATTTCGTAATTATCAACTTAGATTTAAGTCCGTTGTATGCATAAGTAACGTTTGCTTATTAAGAACTTTAAAGTGCTTAATAAAGTAGTATTTGAAGTCGGTTTTAATATTTGAACTATTTGCACATATCTGCCCGACACTATTAATCTCTATTAATATATGTATACGAGACCTCTTCTTCTTCTACCATTTAAATCTCTTCTTCTCCTTTATTCTCTACTCCTATAACTTATCCTATGTCAAGCATATTAAGTTTTCCATTCCCCTCTATAAGATGTCATCATCATTACTAGCCTATAAGTGCTTAATGCTGAGCAAAGGCCACGTCTCACACGAAGAAGGTTTGAGTTTTATTCACCACACTTGGCTCAAGGCGGATTGGCGTTTCCTTACGATGTTTTCCTTCACCGTTTGTCAGTGGTATCTTAATAATCTTAGAAAGTACTTACATATAACTGGGAAAAAGTCACATTGGTGTTTACTAAGTTACGAGCCTGAGCTGTCATGAATGAGAAGCTGATTCCTTAGTTATGTCACAATCTCCTTTTTCTTTCGTATCATGATCACATTAAATGACACACAAACACAATTTAATGACGTGACCCATATGAACTCAATAATTAACATTGTATTTAAAGTTTTTTAATATTCGAAATATATCGTATGAAATCGTATGCCACCATAATTGTCTAAGGCTATTTATAATTTGTATATCATCATTTCGTCATGAGATTGTCCTTGTTCATTGATTGTCTCAAGTCACGCTAAACACAGAGACAAATAGACAATTGTTGTACCTATTTATAGACATTTTTATTAAACAACCAATTCGTCTAGGAAATCTAGAACGAACTATATATGTGTATAAAAGACACCTAAATCAATTTAGGCGTTTTCGAGAAATTCCTACGATTGTGTTTGTTGTCTGTTTATTGTTCATTGGCTAAGTTATACTAATTACTTATACATATAAGTAGTAGAAACTGTATTTAATACACATAGCTAACTAAAATATAGAAGACTAAAACTCATACTTTAAAAAAAACTGCTTATAAAAAGTTGCATTGTAATGTTATTAATAATAACTCACAATGAGTAATTTTTTTCTCACCGTTACAACTATTAAAGTAACTAAATAACGTTATAAAACAATAGACATAACAATAACCCCTTGTAATACAAAGTCCTACAAAATGTTATTGGCAGCTTCCCTTCACACAGTGTTGAGAGAAGTGGGTTACTACGAGTAAAGTACCATTGGAGAGTACAGCATATCAAGCTACCCTATACCATGACTATGGATTCCAACTTTAACCACGTACGTGATAAAGTCGAAAATACATTGAACAAATTGCCATTTTGGAGTAGCTTTTATATATGCTTATTCAATGTATAAGTGTATGAACTTTTTTTAGTATTGTGTTGGTTTTGTGTCAGTCTGATCTATAGACAACATTTTCACTGAATGCAGGAGTCCAGGTGACCGCTACCATTTGTTTATTTATATACTAGCGACTCACTCGGCTTTGCTCGCGTGTTCTGCTAATACGAAATTTCTCAACTGCAGCATTAATGAGAAAGGAGATGTCCACTTTTTGAATGGCAACGTCCACACAAAAAGTGGACATCTCAATCAAACGGCTAGTTCAGGCAATCAGGCTGTTGGTTGGATGGCTAGTTCAAATATTTGGCTGCAACATATCTAGGTATACAAAAGATTTTAAAACATTATGGTGTGCAAATAAAATATAACTATTACTAAGATATGAAATAGTCCATAGTCCAAAAACTACTCGATAATGAAAATAATAATTTCCGACATACAATCAGAATTCTTCTTACTTTTAAGAAGTAAAATTTAAGATACGAAAAGTTTATATAAATTAATGTTTCAACAAGATAATAAACAATGAACGTACAACGCAGGAATCTGATTACTCATAACAATTATTTGATAACAAAATAACGTTGTTATCAACATAATGTATAAATTACCAGTTACTCAGTATGCTATTTCCGCTGTGTGCTAAATCGGTAATCAGTGATGACTGAGCTCTGAAC